AAATTCAATTAAAAAAATTCAATTAAAAAATTCCAATTAAAAAATTCAATTAAAAAATTCAATTAAAAAATTCCAATTAAAAAATTTCAATTAAAAAATTCCATTAAAAAATTCAAATTAAAAAATCCAATTTAAAAATTCCAATAAAAAAAATCCAATTAAAAAATTTCAATTAAAAAATCCAATTAAAAAAATTCAATTAAAAAATCCAATTAAAAAATCCGATTTAAAAAATCCAATTTAAAAATTCCAATTAAAAAATCCAATTAAAAAAACCAATTTAAAAAAATCCAATTGGAAAAATCCAATTAAAAAATCCAATTAAAAAATTCAATTAAAAAATGTCAATTAAAAAATTCCAATGAACAAAATCCAATTAAAAAATTTCAATTAGAAATCCAATTTAAAAATTCCAATTAAAAAATTTCAATTAAAAATCCAATTTAAAAATTCAATTAAAAAATTCCATTAAAAAATTCCAATTAAAAAATCCGATTAAAAAATCCAATTAAAAAAAAAGTCAATTAAAAAAATTCAATTAAAAAATCCAATTGAAAAAATTCCAATTAAAAATCCAATTTAAAGAAAATCCAATTTAAAAAATTCCAATTAAAAATTTCAAAATAAAAAATCCAATCAAAAACCCAATTAAAAATCCAATTAAAAAATCCAATTAAAAAAATCCAATTAAAAAATTTCAATTCAAAATCCAATCGAAGAAATTCCAATTAAAAAATTCAATTAAAAAATTCAATTAAAAAATCCGATTTAAAAATTTCAATTAAAAAATTCCATTAAAAAATTCCAATTAAAAATTTCAATTAAAAAAATCCGATTAAAAATCCAATTAAAAAAAATTCAAATAAAAATTTCCAATTAAAAAAATCCAATTAAAAAATTCATTTAAAAAATCCAATTAAAAAAAATCCAATTGGAAAAATCCAATTAAAAAATTTCAATTAAAAAATCCAATTAAAAAATTCAATTAAAAAATTCCAATTAAAAAAATTCAATTAAAAAATTCCAATTTAAAATCCAATTTAAAAAATTCCAATTAAAAAATTCAATTAAAAAATCCAATTTAAAAATCCAATTAAAAATTGTCCATTAAAAATCCAATTAAAAAATCCCAATTAAAAAATTTCCATTAAAAATCCAATTAAAAAATCCAATTAAAAAATTCCATTAAAAACCCAATTAAATAATCCAATTTAAAAAAAAAAAATCCAATTAAATCCCATTTAATTAACGACCCAATTAACTAATCAACCCGATTAATTAAAAATTAATTAATTAACCGAACTTAATTAAGATAATTCCAATCCCAGGGGAAAATTTTAGGCCAAAAATTCCAAAAAAATTCAATTTCAAGAGAAAAATCCGATTAAAAAAATCCGATTTCATTAAGGACCCAATTAATTAATTAACTCAATGAATTAATATTTATTAATTAACGGCTTTTAATTATGAAAAAATTGAATTTTTAACCCTTTCTTTGCCAAACTCGGGGCNTGGGAATTTTCTTGGGAATTTTTTCTAAAAAAATTCGGGAATTTTCAGATTTTTTGGGGGTGGAAATTTCCGATTTTTCCGCCTAAAAATTTGATTTTTTTTCGCTGAAAATTCGGGATTTTTTCCGAAAAATTCCAGATTTTGGATGGAAATGGATTAATTTTCTAATAATTGATTAATTTAATTAAAAATTTTAATTTTTTTTTAATTTTTTAGGTCCCCGAGGGAGCGGATCCCAAACCGGAGACGCTTTGGGAAAAGCTTTGGCCTCTGTAAGAAAAAAAAAAATTTGAATTAAAAAATCCAATTTAAAAAAAATTCCATTAAAAATCCAAATTAAAAAATCTAATTAAAAAAATTCAATTAAAAAATCCGATTTAAAAAATCCAATTAAAAAATTCCAATTAAAAAATTTCAATTAAAAAATCCAATTAAAAAAATTCAATTAAAAAATCCGATTTAAAAATTCCAATTAAAAAATTCCAATTAAAAAATTTCCATTAAAAATCCAATTTAAAAAATTCCAATTAAAAAATCCAATTAAAAAATTCAATTAAAAAATTCCATTAAAAAATTCAAATTAAAAAGTCCAATTAAAAAATCCAATTAAAAAAAATCCAATTGGAAAAATCCAATTAAAAATTTCCAATTAAAAAAAATTCAATTAAAAAATCCAATTAAAAAATTCAATTAAAAATTTCAATTAAAAAATTTCAATTAAAAAATCCGATTTAAAAATTCAATTAAAAAATTCCAATTAAAAAATTTCCATTAAAAATCCAATTTAAAAAATTCCAATTAAAAAATCCAATTAAAAAATTTCAATTAAAAAATTCCATTAAAAAATTCAAATTAAAAAATCCAATTAAAAAGAATTCAATTAAAAAATCCAATTAAAAAAAAATTCAGTTAAAAATCCAATTAAAAAATTCCAATTAAAAAATTTCAATTAAAAATCCAATTTAAAAATTCCAATTAAAAATCCAATTTAAAAAAATTCAATTAAAAAATCCAATTGAAAAATTCAATTAAAAAATTCCAATTAAAAAATTCCAATTAAAAATCCAATTAAAAAATCCAATTAAAAAATTCCAATTAAAAAATTCCAATTAAAAAAATCCAATTAAAAAATTCGATTGAAAAATCCGATTTAAAAAATCCAGTTAAAAAAATTCAATTAAAAAATTCCAATTAAAAAATTCCAATTAAAAAAAATCCAATTAAAAAAATCCAATTAAAAAATTTCCTTTTAAAATCCAATTTAAAAAATTCAATTAAAAATCCGATTTAAAAATCCAATTAAAAAAATTTCAATTAAAAAATCCGATTTAAAAAATCCAATTAAAAAAATCCAATTAAAAAAATTCAATTAAAAATTTCAAATTAAAAAATCCAATTGAAAAAATCCAATTAAAAATCCAATTAAAAAGCCAATTAAAAAAATCCAATTAAAAAATGTCAATTAAAAAATCCGATTTAAAAAATCCAATTAAAAAATTCCGATTTAAAAATTCCAATTAAAAATTTCCATTAAAAATCCAATTAAAAAATCCAATTAAAAAATTTCCATTAAAAACCCAATTAAATAATCCAATTAAAAAAGAATCCAATTAAATCCCATTTAATTAACGACCCAATTAATTAATCAACCCATTGAATTAAAAATTAATTAATTAACCGAACTTAATTAAGATAATTTCAATCCCAGGGGAAAATTCGAGTCCAAAAATTAAAAAAAATTTAAATTTTAAGAGAAAATCCGATTAAAATAATTCGATTACATCCGATTTAATTAACGACCCAATTAATTAATTAACTCAATGAATTAATATTTATTAATTAACGGCTTTTAATTATGAAAAAATTGAATTTTTAACCCTTTCTTTGCCAAACTCGGGGCATTTTTAGGGCCAAAATCGTCGTTTTTGGGGTAAAAAAT